TGTTAAAAGATGGCATTACTAGCTGATCTGTAAATAAGTATTTTTGGGATAGCACCATATAAAACACAGATCTTCAGAGAAGCATAAACAGGGAGAGCAAACACAAAGTATTAGTCAGTGGGCCAAAGACTGAAATCCAAACAAACATTACAGACATTATCTTGACAGTTCAAATGAAGTCATTCACAAACAAATTATCTTAATAGGATTCTAAAGATTAATCGAACATTGTTTAAGACGAAGGCTCTCATTTAAAGGTATTGTGAGCGACTGATACCCTAGGGTACCTCTTCTGATATCCAATGTGTCTAATGATTAAACTCAATTTATTTGTATTTCACCAATGCTTCCAAAGTCAATTTGCCCTCCTTAGCTCACTTCCTCCTCCTTTCTAAAGCTTCGGTAACTGACCAGTCAGCTAAGCCTTACTCTGACCTGCTAACTCACATTTATACAAAATACTAAGGTTTCCCTCTGTATTACTTAACGAGAACAAAACTTCCTTCCACCCCGAGAACGGCCTTAACTGAAAAAAACCCCAGCATACTGCTGGAGATGGAGTTACTTTTGTGATACAGCCTATGATTTGTTACAGCAAAGTGAGCCCTTCTAGTACTTTATTTTTCCTCTCTATACCACTAACCTCTGAACTGAAGGTAAAGGGCAGGGAAAGCTGCAGGTGAACCTCCATACGTTATCCCCACTAAGTGGTCATACTAAGGCTGAATTCACACAACTTAATGGTTGTTTCAGCAGTTATTTTTTGCTCACTTAAGGTTTTGTTCCTACCTACATTTGCATCAACTAACACGCTACCTACGGTTTAACTAAGGACTGCATATAAACAGGTCTTAGGCTACAAATACCACAAAAGTCTTTCCTACCCCTGAAACCTCCCCCATGAAACTTTCAGTGGTCAAACTCTAAGGGACAACTAAAATGCTAGCACTCACACACAAACATAAACCTTTTGACTTACATACTACTGCTTCCCCTCACACCAGCATGGCCGATGCAGGGAAAAAGACAGGTCTATGATTAAAAGGAAATCTATGAAGAATTTGTATGAACACATTTTCCCATCTAATGAAACTGGGAAAGTGGTGGAGTGGCAATGATATGACAAGGAGACTTGTTGAGCTATGTTGGGGTTCATAACTTATGTGCAAAGACATCTCTATTCCACACCTATTGGGAGTGCCACCTGATTCAAATGATCAGGTAAAGAGTATAGGTTCTGATACCAGACAATTCTTACATTAACATAAATTTATTACTGTTCAAAATAGCCTCAGCATAAGGATTTTAGAACCTATGAAAAGCAGATAAATATTTAGCACACTGAGATCTTGCACATTTTTGAGTATAGAACACTCAAAAATACAGTAGATGGAAGTTAAACCTCCACTTTAGCATTTTGGTTAGAATCAGGAGTGTAGCAAACCTCCCAAACATCTCACTTACTGTGCTTTTGTTCATTTCACCAAATGGACCAGGACAACAAGAGTAGGTTCTTGTTTAGACTAAATTAAACTGGGAATACTATAGAAGTACTTCTAAAGAAGTCCAAATACTAAAGGATTCAGTAGAGTTCGCTCAAAGGATGGCCTTCTGAAAAGCATGCAACGTGGATATTCTGTTTTCAGCAACAACTGTTCCGCTCTGCGAATCTGCCACTTTTGGGCCTCATTACTTGCTAACATACAAACAGACTTACTCACACGTGTTAAGGCATCTAAGAGTAATTACTTAACAGTCACCTTTAAAGCTAAACTCATAAGCCAACAAATAAGATTTGGAATATCTTAGTTGCTTTAGTTTGGATACACCGTGTTTGTCAGGTATACACTCTTTTGTTTTGTCTTCAGTGTGGCAGAATACTTGAGGTTAAAGAACTGACTCTGTTACTTGAGTATTCTGAGTGCTATGTAACCTTAATTTACAGTGCTTCTGGATTGCAATTATTCCATTACTACAGTCAAATGTTTTTCATACACCAAAAGTGCCTTCCTAAAGTGCCTCAAATTAATGTGTCTGTCAAAAGTTACCGCATGGTGAAACTGCACATGCAGTTATCTTCACTTTACCTTTACTGCTAGAATGTTTGCTTTTCCCTTTTTTAATTCAACAAACATTTAGAGGGCCCAGTTGTATATGAATTGGGGATTACTGTTATATTGACATACTAAAATGGAGAAGGCAAATATTGTCTGACAGAGAAGGAGGTGACAATTCTCTTAGACTCACTACATTTTCAGCATGCCCCAAAGCATGCCAAGTATCTCACGGTACAGAACAAGACAGACGGGATTTGTGTCTCGGTGTTTACAGTCTAAAATAAACCTTCCCCGGCTGCCACAACGCGTAACTAACAGCCAACACACCGGTTGCACGTTTCACCCAGGCAAAGCGGGGTTACCGCCGCGTTTCCAGCGGGGCTGAGCCGCCCCTTTCGCGCAGGGCCGGGGACAGCGGCGTGGGAGGGTTACGCCTGTGTCACCGGCAGCACACGGGCACCCGCGGAAAACGGGGACGGGACGCTGAGTAACGACTGGCCCACCCAGCCCCCGCGGCAGCGGCACCGGGCACAGGCCTCGGGGGGCGGCGGGAACGCCCGAGACACGGCACCGAGGCAAGGCAGCCGGCCGCCGCCCGGTGCCCTGCGCTGACGGGGCGCCTCCGCCCCCGCCCGCCGCCGGCCTGGCGCCCCCCACGCCGCCGCGGGACCCCCCACGCCCCCGCGGGACCTGACACCCCCCTCCCCCTCTCCGCGGGACCCCGCTGCCCCAGCCCGGGGTCCGGCAGCGCCCGCCCCCGCCGCGCCGGGACTGGCCACTCCGCCGGCTAACTGACACCGCCCCTGCCCAGCCGCCGCCGCCGCCCCCCGCAGCCCAGCGGGCACCGGGCGGGCGGGCGGCGGGACCGACGGACCGCTCCCGACGGCGGCGGCCGGTTCGGCTCACCTCAGTGCCTGCCGCTGCCGCTGCCACTCACCCGCGGGCGGGCGGGCGGACCGGCCGGTGGGTGGGTGGGTGGGTGGGTCGGTGGGTAGGTAGGCCGGAGGGCAGCGCCGCCGCCGCCTCCTCCCGCTGACCCGGGCCCGGCCGCTCCTGGCACAGGCTGCGGCCCGACTGCGGCGCGAGCGGTCAGGTGACTCCCAACAACATTACCCCCCCCCTCCGCTCCCCCCGCGCGCACACACCCCGCCCGCTGATTGGGCGCGCCGCTCCCCGCCGACGCGCAGCCGCCCACACCGCTTGCGCAGCGCGCATGCGCGCCGCTGCCACCACCCCGCCGGTGGCCGCTGCCCGTGGGCAGCCGTTGGGTCCTGCCGCCCGCCCCCCCCCCCCCGGCGCTGCCAGCGGCCTCCCCGCCCGCCGGGGCAGGTCGCAGGGCTGTGGTAGCTGCGGGGACCGGGCTGGATGCTGGGCGGGCTGTTCGACGTCTCTCTGAGGAGAAGGGGGTCCGCGGGCGGGCGTGTGTGTGTGTGTGTGTGTGTGTGTGTGTGTGTGTGTGTGTGTCGCGGTTTCGGTTTCATGTGTGTTACTGGTGTAAAACTCTTGGAAATGAGGCGCGAGGCCTGTGCTGAGAAGTGTCAGCAATGAACAGGCTTGACCAGTAACGTGATTAGCGACACTTTTGTGCCAGGAAGTGTTAAACTTACATTTCGTAAATGTACCAGCCTGAGGGATTTTTTTTTTTTTTGCTGGCATAACTTACAGACTTGCTGAGTTTATGTCCCGTGGTCCAAAATGCTTTCTGGAAGCTGAGGCTGTGCTGATGTGAGGGTGATGGGCTGGAAGCGTCCCGCTGACAGCCCTTGTCCTTTTTCGGGGTCTGGTTTGTCAAGCGGCTATCAAGCTCTGTGCTGTGCCATGTAAGAGGAGATAAGATGTCAAGTGAGGCAAAAAAATACTGCGGAGCAAGTTGTGGTGAGGAGATAACCTTCAGCTAGCAACAGACACAGGGGTGCTAGAACTGAAGTGGTGTGGTGGTGGTACTGTGGAGCTGGTACCCCTACTGAAAGGCAAAGTTGGATGTCCCGTACTATGTGCATGTAGCTTGCATACCGTTTTCAGGTCCTGACAAGTTATTTTTGTATGATGCCATCTACATGTACAATTTCAGTCTAAGATAGCTAAGAGGAAGTCTTAGAAACGGCTGCTGAATGTTGCCCTGCCCAGGACCAGAGAATTTTCAGTACTTCTAGGCTCTGGTAGGTATTCATCTCCTCCAAGTCAACTTAGAGTAAAAATAGCAAGAAGGCATCTTGTTCTCCCCAGTATCATCTTGAAGACAATGCAAAGGGAAACTGATTGAAAGATGGAAAAAAGCTCTCCTTTTTTGTATATTAAAAGGGAAAACATTCTTGGTTGGCCAGATCAGAGGAGGGGATAAACTCCATGTACCTGTTTATTCAAGGACACCACTGAAGGCAACCTCCTTCCAGAAGCTACATATCCTGAATAAAACATTAATGATTGCAAAAGATGCACTGCCAAGAATACTAATGGGAATTTAATTTTTATGAAATTTTAACAAAGTTTAACAGTTTTGTTTACATTTGAGTTACAAGATTGCATTTGTGCTTCAAAATAAAGTAGGTAAGAAATATACAATCTGTCTTGCACTGTATTTAACTATCACATAACTCTCTTGAGCTGTTTTTACAGTAGATATTCTAAACTTCATTTTAGCCTTTCTGAGAATATTTGGGGAAGGTATGAGCAAAGATCTTGCTGGTAATATTTAGTAATGATAGGTGTGTATAAAAGGGGAGGGAGTCCCCCTCATGTTTGGGTGCAGTGACTGACCTTGCATAATTCAGAAACATGAAACCATAGGGAAAAATGCTTATGTTTGAAAAGCATAGAGTGTCATTCTTAAAAACATACCTTTATATATCACTTTACTTCTACCTGTATTAAGACTCTTTTCTACAGTTACTACAATTTCAATGGTAATGCTAATGAAATTCTTCTTTTATTTACTTTCAGTGTCAAGCCAGTTAGAAATTACACAGGTAGGAGGTCTGAGGGCTCTAGAACTGGTTCCACCCCCACCCAGTGAACCGAACAGTTTCATTTTCACAGCAAACTAGAAAGGAACTTTTTAATAGCTTTCTTCAAAAGTCATTATACCAGACTAAAACTGATAACAGACAGGAAATCCCTGCTGCTTTGTTTATTTATTTGTTAGCTGAAAAGTGGGTTCTGAATGGCATTTTTTAAGTGGGAAGTGGCTGTATTTCACAGGTGGGCTTTGCTTTTCCTTGGATCATTTCTAAGTCCATTAGGCTCAATTTTATAAGACATATTTTGTTAGTATTTCTTTGTCTCCATTTCTTTAGTCAGACATCTTCATTAGCACCCAAAATAAAAATGACAACCCGAAGCCTTATAAAAGCAGATGTGCAACCATACCCTAAGTAGCAGTTCCATATTACTTACTGAAGGGTTCCCAGTTGCTACAGGCTCTGAGAACTCATCATACTTACTCTGAAAATTGTGCATGCAGATGGAAAAGTGTGAAAAACAGAAGGTGCCTTTTCCTCCATCAACAACATTCAAGATAAATGTTAATACCTTGTCTAGATTTGCACCAGGTGGAAATCTGTCATTTTGTTACACTGGCCGTAGGCCTGGCACATAAGATGTAGCTATTTTCCAAAGCAACACACCTTTTGTTTTACTTTCACCTGTGCCTGGATTCTTAAGACTCTAAAGTCTTTATTGTAGGCTATTAGAGCTGAGTGACTGTTGTCTTCTGTTACTGACAATCATAAAAAAAACAAAAAACAAAACAAAAAAAAAAACACCAACACAAATCAATATCAATAAAGTAAACAATCTACTGTGCTGGCTGTACATGAGATTAGTTAAGCCTCTGAAAGGCCTGCAGCAAACAGGGTTATATACCCGCAAGATCATCCACGCTAACAGCCGAGATAAAAATGTTGCACCTATGTCACACCAGAGCTAGTGAAGCAAAGAAGGTATCGAATCAGAAGAGGTGCTGAAAGAGTATAAAGACCAACAGTGTAAAGGATGGGACCGGGCAAGGAATGGAAGATTCAAAAATACTGGCTGAATTAAGAGCAAATCTGGATATTCAGCTACTAATTTAAAAACCCATATGCTTGTGACCTTTGCTTGTTCATTTTACACACCGATCTTGCAAGCCTTCTCTAAAGGAGATATGCTGCCTTTGAGGTGAGAAGAATCCTCTGCTGGGAGGAAGGATTGCCTCTCCACTCCCTGCTTTTCCTTGGGATTTCTCTGATTAACCTGTTCACATGTATTTCCGCTAAAGGAACAAGTTATATCCAGTACTTCGTAAGCTGAAATAACCCCTCTAGCAGTTTTCTTCATATGTAATAACTGTTGTTCCTCTGTTTATACAACTCCTGTATTTTCGTTAAGCAAGAAATTATTGGTAGACCTGGTTTTCTAAATACAACTGTATTATAATATGAGCAGCTGAGATGTTTTTAATCTCACACAGGATTCAGCAAAATCACACATGGTGGAGGGAAGGTATGGTTCTTGTGGTTCTCTCTGCCATTCATATGAAGAATATATTGAACAAAATTCTGAAGCTTTCAGTTTTGACAGAGGCTAATACATATTTTCCTTCAATGACTGTTTGATAACTGCCTTTCACCTCATGAAGAGGCAGCACTTAATTCTTTTTAGTTATTATTTGGTCAATATATTCCTCAGTATAACCAGAGTTTCATTACAAAATAACATAAACAATACATTGGTAAATAAATTTAAGGACAGCTATTTGATAATGATAGCCAAACTATCTTTTTGCCTTGAGATTTGAGTACTACCTGTTCTTAATAATAATGTATTCTGAATCTAAGTTTCTACAATTGCTCTTTATGTTTTCTATGACTTGTTCTCGTGCCCCTACAAATGTTGGTAATTCCCAATCCACTAGTACTCATGTGAAGAAAGCAAATTTAAGGCAAGTCTTTAGATGGTAAAAATGGAGTTGCAGAAATACAGGTTGTTTGCAGTGTTTAAGCATAAGCAGAAAACTTATGCTTATTACCACTAAACTAAAAGGTGGCTTTTTTTCTGGTCTTACAGTTAAGGGGTTTTTTTTGTGGGGAAGAGGGAGGAGCAGAAGAGAGAAAAAATAAAAAGAAATAAATCAAAACAAAAGGAGCTCTTACTTTGGCTTGAAGATTGGCTACCAAATCTTGGACCGCACCCACCAAGAAGGACTCTTCATCTCTTGCTCTTGATCCTAAGAATGATGCAATGCTGACTTCCCACACAACAGGGAATGAAATTATGGCGTAACAACTTGCTTCTCACTCAGACTCGAGAACTGAGTAAGTAATTTCCTCATTGAAATTAGACACAACTGGAGAGAGGAAAAATAAAAAATTTAGTCATTTTTTTTCCTAAAAAGGAGAAGTAAAACCAGCAAAAAGGAGATCTGGGAGCTAAGCTGAAAAACAAGGAAGTACCTTGTCCTGCAGATGAATAATTAATGTTTTAAAGATAAAGCAGTACAAAATGTGAGATTATAAATGCTCACAGAATTAGTGAGCATGATAACAAATATAATTAGAAGAAAACAAAGAAAAATGTGCCTTTTTTGCAATTTTTTTTTTTTCTGGTACATTGCCAACGATGGGATTTTGAGTCCCATTATATCAAATGCTGTTATTTCCCTACAAAGACTGGCTATAGCCGTCTCTTTGCTAGTGTTGTTTACTGCTTCTGGCACACTAGATGCACCAGCCTGAGCTAGCAGTAGTTTGTGGCTCAATTTCATTGAGCTCTGACTCGTCTATGTGCCGGTAATGGCCCAGAAAGATTAAAGTCATCTAATCTCTGGAGGTTGGTTATGTTGACTACAGGGCACAGCCCAAAATAACGAACATCTAGGCCATCTTTAATATTGTGTATGATCTTTTCTGCCCTTTCCCTCTCTTTCTGTGCTGTAGCTGGTTTCATACCATACAAACTTTGCTAATAAGTTCCCCAGAGGTAAATTGCAACATAACCCAACACTAAAGGTGAGATTCATCTCACCTGTCTTTATCCATCTAAAATTTAGCTGTCTAGTCTAAGCTACTTATCTAGGCTCCCGTGCAGTCAGTGGAACTAGATAGGCATCTCCACAGGGTAATTTTTCCCTTCCTGTGGTAGTTGTCTGAGACAGGTGTGATGAAACTCCTTTTGGAGATTCCTGGCTCACACCTTTGTCCGTGGCGGGAACATGGATAACTGGGTTAGGTTAGAGGCATAACTCGCAGAGGACTGCGCATTAATTGAACCTGAGCCTTCGTACTTACTTTCTGCAGGATGCTGGGATCAGACTCCTCTAGAGCAAAAGTGTTGTGGAGTCATTGAGAAAAATAGATGCTAAAGGCCCATCTTCATTTCATGATGAAATGTCCATTTTTTTCTGGCTGAGCAGGACGCTTATCTCAGTGTCAGAAGAGGGTTTCTGCCTGTGGCCCCTCACACTGCAACGGACTGATTAGGCATACATAACGAATCCAGCATTTCTGGTTGTAAGCCAAATTAGTGTACAGATCACTGCAGTAAATTGGGTGTAAAAGACATGCTTTTGTCCTAGACACACCAGGTTTAGATGCGCAGATTGAACGCACTGCGTGTATGGAGTAGGGCAGATGCTTCCCCTGCTTTCTGAAGCACTGGCCATAGTGTCGCAAGTGGTACGCTACGTTCACGCGTGTGCAGCAGCTCCAGTACCTCGCTGGAGCAGCAGATTTTTCCATGCGTACGTACCGCAGCTGCGTTGCACGTCCGCAAGGCACGCCTGCGGTGATGGCAGGTGGAGTGGGAGAAGATCCCGACTGGGACTGGTCTGGTCTCTCTGGAACACACTGAGCTTGCAGCCTGCTTCGCGCACGGTGCGCTCCCGTGCTCGCTGACGCCGTGAGCTCTGCCAGGAGTCCCCCGCTGGAAACTGCCGCCCGGGCTTCGCGGGGCAGAGGCCGAAGACCCCGATGTACGCACATCCACTTCAAATCTGACCTCTGTAGGCATCGTACAGAAGACTAGTCCCTTTACACTCTGGTAAATGAAAACCAAACCATTCCTTCCTGTGAACTTGCAAACACAAAAGCTGTTTTTTTAAATCTACATTTAGATAAAATTTTCTAACTGTATATCGAGCTATTAAGGAGCTACTATGGTATGTGATGTATTTAAGTGACTGAAACCTCAAGGCTATGTCAGTATGTACAAGCCTAAAATCTGACTCTTATTTTAAAATGTCTTTTTAAGTCTTCAAATACATTCTTTAAGAATTTATTTCCATACTGTCTTTTTGCTGTATGTGTGTTAGGAACCCACATGCTTATTTTTCATGGTTTCTGGCTTACAGAAGTCTTTTGTTCATTCTGGGAAAGCATACTGTTAATCACATGAAAATATTTTTGAATTCCCTTTTTATAAAAAAAGAGGAAAAGTGCTTTTAATTTAGAAGTAAATCTTATTTTGGTAAACTGTCTTTTAAAGCGCAATTATAAAAGTGATTATCTTAAATCTAAAGCTAATTTGGTCCAAATTCTCACCAAAGCTTCTGAAAATGAAAACTGGCTTCCCAGTTAAAACTGATTTTTTTTTTAGATATTTTTTAAAACATCAACCTTAGGTTAAACAGTAATGTTTCAATGGGAAAAAAAGGAGATTTTTTTTTTTCTTGAAAAGAATGAGGGTTTTTTAATTATTTATTCTGTGAGAAGGGTTATAAACCATGTGTAAACAATGCCAAAAAGGTGGGAAAGATTTAAAAGTGTCTAGCTGTGGAAAATAAGAGGTCTGCTTAGGTAGGCAGAGGAAGGTGTATGAAAAGATGAAAGAATGAGGATTGAAACAGGACAACTAAAAAAGCCTCATCCAGGTCCTTGAAAGAGGAAAAATATTTATTTACAAAAAATGGATTTGCTTTCCTGGAAACCTGGAGTAATGGCTGTAACTTCGTCAGACAGCAATGCCTGACCTGAGGGATCTGGGAAAAGACCAGAAATGTTGAGGAGGTGAGGTGAAATTACTGCAACCAGACTGTCCAGACCAGGCATTATCACACAGTGGCTCTTTTGAAGCTGGGGAGGAAACCTCAGTGTGTGTGGGAAAGCCAGTGTATGTCATCTGGGGCTTGATGAGTGTTCACAGTCTCAAGTAATGCTGTGGGATCGCAGCTGTGTGGGCTTAGATGAATTAACTCCCTGAAGCAGAAAACCACTAAGCCTGAAACCAGCAGAAGCTTAGCTTTCAGCCAGATGCAGATCTGCAAGCAGATCCATGGAGGACCAAGGTTTTGGGAAGATGGAGTGAGGCCTGGTGAAACACCTCATGCCTGGGGGGCTGAGGATGTGCATTCACAGGACCACAAACTAAATGCATAGCAGTCCCCATCACTTCCATGTGCCCTTCCCCTGTGAAAGGGTCACGCTCTGGGAGAAAGTCATCTCTTCAGAAAATAGCCTTTGCGGTACTAGGGAAAGACGAGCCCATCTGTTTTCTTTAATTTATAATACAGTCTACTGATGGTCTCCTGAATTAGCAAGTTGGGATGGCCCCTCTGCAAACCCTTATTTTAGGAGGAGTAAGAGCCGGTACTGCGTTATTCCCATGTGTGGCTGGTCCAGGGCTCTTCTCTCGCTTTTGCTCTAAACTGCCCTAAATGAGGAGTCTGCTCATTAGTGCTACATTATTGCAGGGCTATATGGAGTACTGTTTTTCTGCTCTTCTAGTAAAATGCAAACCCTCTCCACCCCAACCCAGATGAAAACCCAAGGACATTCATTTTATCCATGGAAGGAGGTACCCTGAGTTTTCTTAAATTACAAAAGTATTTGTGAGTGAGACCCTTGAAAGTGGGAAAGAAGCAGCTTGTCTCTCTCACACACACGAATTCATAAATCTCTGCAATACTTGAAACATTGAAACTTTGGACTGATTCCCTAAGAACTGTAGTCATACTCCTGAGAGGAGAAGGATGTTGAGTCATAGTGAAGAAAGGAAAGAAAAGCTGAATGTTTTTTCTATTACAATCATCCCAGAGGTCAGACACAACCAAGACAGACAGATGAACAACAAAAACACTGGTTAAATGATTCAAAAGGCTAGGTTTTCTGGCATTAGACAAAAACATTTCAAGCACTCTGAAGCAAAATACGGAAATTAATTGTCATTCCAGTATATCTAAGCATATTTGCTTTTTGAGTCTAATGCCTGAAGGAGGATTGATTTTAAAATGTTTTGGTAGAAAAGTTCTGAAGGACTTACACTTAGGCTGTCTGAAGGCTCTGGTAAATATACCAGGACCAGAACAATTAACAATGAAATTGCATTTGCTTTTGGCAACGTCTGACAGTGGCATAAAGGAGAGATAACATATGCTTTTTTGCAGCATAGTATAACATAATTTTTTAAAAGTACCTAATTAAGCCACTCTTGTTTAAATAAGTCTTCTTTATGATCACCCAGCTTGCTTTTGCTAGACTGGATGATTGCAGAAGTGAATGATGTATTTGAAGACCTGGCTAAGACTGGAAAGCATACCAAAATTAGGAAAGAACACCACACATTCAAATACTTGGCTAGGTCTTAATTTCACAGCATAAGGTTCTTATTGTAACTTACTACTGTATTGATCACACAATGACTTGCCAGAAAGACTGACTGTTCAACATATAAACTCTACTGTTACAGCTTTCTGAAAAGGGGATTTATTCTTCTGAGGCTGTACATTTTCTCATTTGTCATAACAGAGGAAAAATTGATTCAGTGCCTGCTTCTATTTAGAGCTGCATGTTAAATGCCCCACAACAGAAGCTGTTCAGTTTCTGCGACTCATTACCAAGTTGGAGTCTCAGTTGAGAAACCAGAGTGATTACTAGTTTGTTTGTCAATGTAGTGATCCAGTAAGAGGAGAGAGCCAATCTTCACCCATCTGCTATGTCTAGCTGGATTTCCTCCTGTTCTCGAGCAACTGGCCAGTCAGCTCATCGTGCGTTTGGGTGTGACTGCAAGCCATGATGAGTCATGGTTTAAGTGCACAACTCATACCAAAAGGAAAATGAGGCCAATTTAAACTCTACTTTTGATTTTATCTGTAGCTTAGTTCTGTGAAAGTCACAAGGAGCCCAAAACTGCTACAACCAGCAAATAAGACACAGAAGGAGGTGTCACCATCAACATGCAAAAAAAGAAATATACCTGCAATTCTCTGTACTGGGTCTGACTGATGGAGTCTCTTCTCAAAAACGCAGCATTAGATGACGTACAGACTAGTAGTCACCTATTGTAACAGGATGAGAGTTGCTGAAAACTGCAAGTTGACAACGGGGGAGTGTACTTGCAAATCTGGAACTTGTTATAGAAATTATGGAACCAAATATAGTGTCATTTCCTGATAACTTAGTTCTTTGATAATTTTTTGTCTTATGAGGTGTTGCCTAGGTCACAATAGATGGACCGTTTCCTACTGTTCCTGCTCTTCCTCTCCCATCTTTGGACAGCTGATGATCCACACCTGTGGAGATTGGTTCTGCCAGCACTGGAGACTTACAGTCTTTTTTAGGAACCGCTGAAAGTTGGGTTTCTCATGGTGCAAGGTAGGTGCTTCTTGAAACCACTTTCAAAGTATATCTCAGAAACACACTGTTTCTTTTTCCCTTTCCCTTCATGGAATCACAGAGTGGTTGAGGCTGGAAGTGGCCTCTGGATATCTATCTGGTCCAACCCCCCTGGTCAGGCAGGGACATGCCCAGATGGCTTCTGAATATCTTCAGGGAGGGAGAATCCATAACCTCTCTGGGAAACTTGTGCCAGCGCTCGATCACCCTCACAGTGAAAAGGTGTTTCCTGATGTTCAGATGGAGCCTTCTGTGTTCCAGTTTCTGCCCATTGTGTCCCACTGGATACTACTAAAAAGAGCCCATTTCTGTCATCTTTACACCCTCCCTTCAGGTATTTGTACCAATTGAGGAGATCCTCCCTCAGCCTTCCCTTAACAGGTATGAAGTACTAAGGAAGGGCTCAAATAGGCCAAACTGCTTAGTCAGAGACTAAGCTGACATATACTCAGCTAAAACCTCTGGTGCTGTTCCTGCTACTGTCAGATGATTACAACACTTTTTGAGACATGTTTTTTTCTCAGGCAAAAGTGTAAATTTTGCACTTAATAACAGTGTGTGTCTTGGGTGTTTGTTGGAGCTTGGACACTGTCCCCTGGGAACTTTTCAAAACACACTAAAAAAACACTTGAAAAAGTCAGTGAAGACTTATTTAGCCATCCTGAACCACACAGCAGCCTACTGTTACCTTATGCCTTGTGCCCAATTCAATATCCAAGCTGGACAAATGTGTCTTAGGCTTGAGTGTAGTCATAAGAAGCAGTCTATGGGTATGTTGGTTATAGTTCCTATTGCACATTTTTGTATCTTTCCTGAAATGAGCCTCTATCTCTTGTTTGCAGAGCTCACATAGGGTCTCCAGTTCCCAGAAGAGACCACTTGGGTTACGTGTTGTCTGCTTTACCTCTCAACAAGCATTTGAAGGGGTGAGGAAGAGAAGGGAAGGCAGAGAGAGGGAAGGACTGCTGCTCTACAAGAAGGGTGGGAGAGAATCAAATTCCTGTGGGTACTTCTTTGCACACAGACTTACTTCCTGATATGGAAAATCTCAAACATGACCTTGAATTCCCTGTAAGGTGTATCCTGACTGTTGTTTAGTTTAGGAGATTAATTTTCTCATACTATTTCATATGCTACCATGATCTCTTTTCTCCTGTACAATATTCTCATCTTTTTGTCTATCTAGCAAAATCTGGCTATATTGACTTACAGACTATCTGAGTACATAGATTGCTCTAGAACTTTGTGCAAGCCTGTTGTCTACCATTGGGTGTACGCCATAGGAGGTCAAGACCCTACAGCCTTTTTAAGGGATGTGACTGTTTATAGGATCTCTGGAGCAGTATCTTCTCCACCTGCTTTTTCCAAGCATGCTGCTACTCTTGGGGCTTCAAGAGGGAACACTCAGCAGAGCAGTCTCCTGTTGACTGACCTCTCAAAACACCCAGGATCAACTTGGGTTTGTGAGTTGCTCACAGGAGCAATGTTCTCCAGGGTGTGTTGTACCTGTGCCTATTACCTACTTCTCATGTCCCTCCACCTAAGAATGGGTTGGAAAACTGGGGATTCTGGGGTTCAGGTGGATTTTTGCAAGTCACAGTCAACCTGTTTACATCTCTACACGCAACCACAACAGAGCACAGTCATGTTTGGTCCTGATAAGATACAAGCCTTGAGCTCTGAGTGCTCGTTTGCATGCCTTCCTGCCATGTGAAAGCAAGTTACTGCCTAAGAAAATGCAAATGCTTTGTACTGTATGACAAATACTGTAAATCAGAAGTTGTGGTAATTATCTCACATGAAGTCCTCTAAGAACGAACAAAATACCGATGGTCTAGTTAAATGCTTATGAATCACTACCCAGTAAAAAATGACACCACCTGTCACATTTCATGTACCTTCTTGGGAAATGGGGAGAACGTACTGAACTGAGGCAGCTAGTGACTGTGTTGTACAGTGGTTATTATATGACACCAGGAGATGTATTATACTGCACATTCCTTTCAGGCAGAGAAACACAGTAGAAACTGCACAGCAGACACATCACTAGGAAAAGAAATCTTTAAAATGATAGTTTAAGTAACAAAAACATGCTTTTTTTTTTTTTTTTGCATGCAGCAAGTAGAACACAATTTAGATATCTTTCTTTATAAATTTAATAAATACATGCAGAAATTGCATGTAGATACACAGTAGTGACTATTGCCTTATTAATAGATTGTAAGGTGTAGGTAAGAATGAACAATCCAGGGGTGTTTTTAACAATGTTTCTGAAACAAAGCAGTAAATGAAAGGAAAGCATTCAGGAACGTGAATGAGCTGCCACTCCAGCTGGGAATGTAGGCTTTGGCATTGGCATTTATAGCCTATGTAAGTAATGTTTATGCAAAATCACACGACTCTAGGGTTGTGTGCTAAATAGTCCAAAGAGAGTAAAATGGAATACAGTATACACTGTGTTGTGCCTCTATTAAGGCATTTAACAGAATAGAAGTCAGTAAGCAGAGGAGTAGTCCCACTAAGATCTGAATGAGCGAGCCTTTAAAAATCTATTCAAAACATACCCTGTTCTGTTGCGTATCAGGAAATATCAGAGATTTTTTTTTCTCCATCAGTTTGATTTATGTTATTTTGATATTGCTCGGTAGTTTCATTGATGGCTGTATTGGGCCTGGCTGAGATGGAATTAATTTTCCCCACAGCAGCCCTCACAGCGCTGTGCTTCGTGTCGGCATCTGGAGAGGTGCTGGTAACACCCCGGTGCATTGGCTACTGCTGAGCAGCGCTCGCGCGGCATCAGGGCTGTCTCTCCAGCATCCCCCCTCACCGGCAGGCTGGGGGTGGGCGAGATATTGGGAAGGGACACAGCCAGGACAGCTGACCCAAACTGACCAAAGGGATGTTCCACACCATATGACGTCTGCTCAGCAATACAAACTAAGGGAAAGAGGCTGGAGAGTGAGGGGGAGCATTCATCATTACAAGGTTTGTCTTCCATGTCAACTGCTAGGTGTACTGAAGCCCTGCATCCTGGGAAGTGGCTGGGCACCTCCTGCTGATGGGAAGCAGAGAATAAATCTTTTGTTTTCCTTTGCTTCCATGTGCAGCCTTTGCTTTTGCTTTGTTAAACTGTGTTTATCTTGACCCAAGAGGTTTTTTCCATCTTATTCTCCCCACCTCTATTCTGCCAAGGACAGGAGTGGTAGAGCAGCTGGGTGTGCGCCTGGCATCCAGCCACAGTCAACCCACCACTGATGGCACAATAGGATTTAGAAGACTGAAATGATGTAACAGAATGGGAAGGAAACTTTCAAACACCAATCTTATAAAGCAAGAAATAGCAGGTATTTTGCACAAAAACAGTTTTGAGAAAATGCTGTTGTATAATAATCAATATTAACCAATTTTACTGTCTTTGGAAAATTACTTTTTTCCCCAGCTGGTCTGTACATGAGGCTTCTAAACCTATCTGTCAAAGTTCATTCAGATCAGCTAAAACATAAACTGATATATAAATAAAACACAGTTTGAGGTTCTACCAGTTCTGTGTCTCATTGTGTGAATCTTGTCTGACTGAGAGACGTCATGTGTCAGCACAGTCATGTTTATTCAGATGAGTGACTTGCTTCTACCAACAAGAAACTTGTAACTGCTTTGTTGTTGACGGTTGTATTTGTAAGGGCATGATGAATAAGCTTCACATGTTTCTATTAATACAAAATTGGCTGTCATTGATATCAATATTTGCTGTTCAATAAAGTGAGAAATAATTTAGATAACCACTTGAAAATCAGTAGAAAGTTCTCAAATATACATTGAAGTATAGATTTGGTTTTAAAAATTCTCAGTTGTACAGTGCTCATTTCTGTCAGGACATGAACAGCTTGCTTGTTTTCTCATTATTTGCCAATTGCAGTGGAAATGACACAGCACAAAAGTCTGCTGACTGAAAAGTCACTTGTATTTTCTAGGTACTTTCCGGTTTTGAAATAACACTCTAGATTATCAAAAATGGTGCAGTTGTTTGAATCCAACTTCTGCCAAGTTTTTATGCTGCTGATGCTGGTAAGAGTGGAGAAATCTACCTTAGAAGCAACTTCTTGAATCATATCTTGTTATTTTCAATATTAAATTTAAATGTATGTTAAAAATAAATGTCTTATTATTTTTTGTCATGACGTTCTTTAAATGTCATGGTATCTTAACAGTTATGTAAAGAATAATATTGCATACTGTGGAGCAGCCACCTGCTGCTGCAGATAGCCATGATTTACTAGAACAAGGGAACAACCAGAAGGATGTGCGTTAATGTGCACTGGCGCAAGGTGACACAACTCCACTCGTACTAGAAATCAGTATACCCCGATGAACAACAATGAAGATGATGAGTCTCTCAAGAAAGACAGCATTTTCACCAGATGAGGCTTGTGATGGGGCTCCCTGACAAGCAAAGCATGACCCTACAGACCCTTAGTCATGTTCTGAAACCAAGTGCTCCTGCAGAGAGCTGAGCAGACTCACACTCCGGGAACTTTCCAGCGGTTCACAGGGGCCAGTTTTGAGGGGATCTGCTGTGCTTAGTGTTTGTCCTTGGAAGGGTCACTGTCTTAGCTGGGGTCTATGCACCCCTCTGCACTTCTGCCCTGAGCTTAGGTAGGATATCTAGCTTATACCTAAAGAATTAGCAAAGACTTTTTAAAAAACGTGCGCAGAAAAATTAAAGAACCACAATTTATTTGCAAGCATTTCTCTTCAGTGTTTCTTCTGGGGAGCTAGAAGATGTAAAATATTAACCAGAGAAGAAAGGGAGGTAGGCAACTTCACAAATCAAATAGCTAGTGTGTTTTAAACATATTGCATTTGGTACAGCAGTCATGAGCTGGTGGTAGAGTAGCACAACTGCAAATACAGGACTGTGGGAGGAGTTTGGAAATATATCTAGGTATAGCTAGGTATACAAATATACCTGGTTATCTAAAACTGAGGTCTACTTACTTACGTCCAAAATGTTCAACCAAGCAATGTGTTCCTTGCTGTCCTCCTGAACATGGCTCAGTTTATTCCATCCTTCTCTCTTCGACCTGAACGTCCTCTCAGTGCCCCTGGTTGTGCTTCTCAGTATGCGCAGGCAAGCTGCAGCCCAAGAAGTTTGGTGCCTCATCCCTGCTTAAAAGCTCTGACTGAATTTCAGGGCACAGGAGTGCCGTGTGGCATTTCCAGTGTCCTCAGTCTGCGAGCACAGTGCATCCAGCAGGCACAGATGAGGCCCAGCCTCCCACAAAATGCAGCACCTTGCCTTCTGACTGGGGTACCTAGCTGGAGACAGAAAGTACTCAGCCCCTTACCTCAGGGCTGTGAATTATATCAAAAAATATAATCACAAAATTGGGGTGGGGAACCCCAGTACCCAAATGTTAGGGCCCTGTTTCTTGTTTGTTCTCCCCCCACTCACAGATTTTGCAACATTTTCTACACGAAGGCCCACTTATAACATGAGAAGATCAGCATTCATCCTTTGCATGTGTGCTTTGACCTATTTAACCTATTTTCTAGTGATGGGGACACTGTCTTCATAGCTGACAAGGCTTTCCATTTCTTTCCTCTGAGCATTTTTTGAATAATTTTTGTCGAAATTACTAAAAAGTCATGGATAACAAAACTTCCAATACCAGTCTGCATTATTTCTTTTCATCTCCTTCTGTTCATTAGTTCTTCAGACATTAGCTCGTGTCTGTTGATCAGGTACTCTCCTGAGCACATCACAAGGATTTTATTTTAATCCACGTGCATTATTTTAAGCTTGTAATTGATAGGTTATAAAAATAGGCAGCAGGCCATTAAAAATGTGAAAAATAGCTAGGATTAAACTGAGAGTGTTCAGATGCTGCCAAGGTTTCAAACAGCAAAATACAACATATTGCCAACTATACTATCTAACTTCCAGATCCAAGATGTACTTCATTTATTAGCTAGATGGCCACCATAGTTGAACAAGTATTATGGGATATATGTATTGAAAATTAAGTTTAAAAATGGGACTTTTTACAAGGGCATGTAGTGATAGGATGAGGGGTAACAGTTTTAAACTGAAAGAGAGTAGATTTAGATTAGATGTAAGGAAGAAATTCTTTCCTGTGAGGGTGGTGAGACACTGGCACAGGTTGCCCAGAGAAGCTGTGGCTGCCCCCTCCCTGGAAGGGTTCAAGGCCAAGTTGGACGGGGCTTTGAGCAACCTGGACTGGTGGAAGGTGTCCCTGCCCAGGGCAGGGGGGTTGGAACTGGGTGATCTTTAAGGCCTCTTCCAACCCAAACCATTCCGTGATTCTGTGATTCTATGATTCTTCATCCAAAGATAAAAAATGGTATTTAAGCAGATAATGCCCTGGAAAATTCTGACAATGTAAGTGTAAAATTTAACCACTGATGGAATGACATGGAAGTAGTTAACCAAAAATTTCTCTGGAAAACAAATTAGAAGCGCTGAGAAAAGTTGAATTGTTGCCTGTTGAATTTAAACTCATTCTGCTTATAAAAACTGTTGAAGTACAAAATATGTTTTCATTGTCAGATAAAGGCAGGAAACAAACTTCTAGGAAAATAGGTTCCGGGCAGGAAAGGTGTGTCCAGACTATCAGTACCAAAGCAGACATACTAGAGATAGAGTGTTCTCCCTGCCCTACAGGTGGTGAAAGAGAAATAAGCTTATACTGGAGAGAAAAGTTGTTGCTGTTGGTTAAAAAGAAAAAAAAGGAAGTGAAGAAAGGGCTCAAAAGAGCACTGAGGGAAAAATAAATTAACTGGTCAGTAAGAGATTGGTAAGCAGAATAATTGTAAAACAAGTATTTTATTGTTAGACACTCATAATCAGGGAAAAACTGAACATCAAGGAAGTTAATTGACAACTAATAAATTAAGACAGTTATTATTTTGCTACCAACAAATACAATTTTTTTAATAAAGTTTTGGTGTGGATATTATTTTTTTTTCTATAGAAACAGTCATCTGACAGTAGGTTGAAGCAGTTCTAATGAAAACCACAATGAAATGGTTCAATTCACACAAGGAAATGAGGAACACAAGTTCCAGCAGAAAGAACAGGTAACAGAAAAGTTCAGTCCTGAAAGTGTTTATAAACAGCATTGAAATTAAACATTTCTGCTTTATCAAAATGGACTGTTGGTCCATACCAGTGATGCATAGATAAACTGCATGCAGATTTTCCAGACATAATTAGGCAGAAGGAAGAATGAAATTGGAGCTGAATTCACAGAGTGCATAGCCCAGCTTTAAAGAAAATTAGTAACAAGATCCAGGAAGGAATCACCTGGCATAGCAACTGAAAAAAAAATAGCAATCCACATCAGCTTGTCAGCTTCTCAGAGTGAACAGATAAAGTGGGCTGCAGGTGGGGGCATGGCAAAAGATGCTGGGGAGCCCAGGCATGACACCTCCCTCCGTCCCTGGTGGGTGTGCTTCTGCTTGGGGTCCCCAGGTGTCCCTGCAGCAGTGGAGGTGAGTCAGCAGGTGCATCCTGGGTTTTTAGGTCCTACAGACCAACTCTGGGGAGGAGGGGGGCAAGAAATTACTCCATGCTTTTTTCTCCCCCCGTCCAATGCACATGAAGGAAACAGTCCAAAACAGTTTTACAAGGAAGCCCCAAAAGACTCATGTACACCATCACAAGGTTTGCAGTACATATCTATCTTCTTTCCAGATCTTTATTACTCTGCTAAGATAGCACAAAAGTCTGGTCTCAAGCTGAGACATCATCAAAACCCTCTGAAGGTCAAAGAGTGCAGATGAGCAAACTTGTTTGTAGGGTATACTGCCCATATTTCTTAGATCAAATCACCAAATAATTTCTTCTTTCAGCATAATAAAAAAAGCAGTGTCCTACCACCAGTCAGCTGTCTGTCTCCAGGATTTCCATTTATCAGGCTTCAGACCAGAAGCCATACAGAGACAACATTTCCTTGGGGGGTTTTTTATGTTTTTCTTTCACAGACTATGTAAGTACCAAATGATCTTGTTCCACTTTGAAGAAGCTTCAGGCTGAAGCCTGAAGAAGCTCAAGTCCTTCATGAATATAGTTGTCTATATAGTGCAGACAACTGTCTCACTGCATCTCATACATCTTCATTGCAGCACCACAGTAACATTTTTTAAAACTGTTTTTTAACAGGAATGTTTCCACTGTATTTTCCATCTGATTTTCCACTGTATCTCCTCTTACAGTCAAGTGCTGTAGAGCGTCTGTGGAGCTGCAGGAACATTTGCTCTGCACGTTTGAAGTCTTACTGGCTTCTTCCTTGCCAACTGATGGTGCCTCTGGAGCCCAGGTGACAAATGGCCACATTTTCTGTCCTCTGAAGACGTCTCTGTCTTTGCCAGTCACATGAAGAGCAGTGGGCAGAATCAGCCAGACAGAGGGTGGAGCAGTCCCTTTTGCTCTGCTTCCCCCTGCAAAATTTGGAGGTGTCTCCATAAGGAAGAGAAGTTGCACAAACCTGCTGCACTGTGTGGCACGCGGTGGGGCTTTACGTCAGACCCCTACATTCAAGACAGCAATGACTATAGCTGCACAGACAAACCGTAAGGATTTCAAGTTCACTTTCACATGTGCTCAGATTGTACCCATGCCATACCCTCTGTGTGGTTAGCAGAATAGTTGATATCTATTTGGTTTCTGAGAAGGTTTTTTCAAGTGAAAATAGAACAATTTGGTGGTGATGCTACTCAGAATCTGAGTTTTAGGTACTTTTTATGTCCACATAGCATGACTCAGAGTACCAGGAGTCTCAGTCTTAACAGCATTCCCAGAAGGCTAATGCTTAGGTGCAGAGAGCCAAGTTTTAAGTGAATGAATGGCTCTTTTATACAGATGCAAGATGCAGTAAGGAAGAGGTCTATGGAGACCCAGCTG